CTCCCTCCCTCCCTCCCTCCTCCTGTAGAGGGCGCTTTTTAGAGGCTTTTTTAAACAGTTAAGCACTAAGCAGCGTCATCCATGGTGACTCTGGCAGCAACTAGCTCAGCCTGACCTCAGCAGCTCTTGCCTTTTTCCTTTTACATTTTCTTTTCTTTTCATGATGACAGTGGTGAGGCTCTGCCTCCCTTGACTGCACTTCCTGTGGTCTAGACTCAATTAGACAAAAGATCTGTGTAATCTAGACCAGCTGTAGAAGGCTGATAACCAAAACAGTTTCCAGAAGCATTTATTAGAACTTATGAAACTGCATATTAAGAAACAAAAGACTAAGCACGAATCAATCAATCTTATTTCTATAGAGATCCCTTGAGGACAGATGCCTCGAGGATCTATTAGGCTGCCTTATTTTTTTCTCTCTCTCTGTAACCTCACCATCTACCACGGTTAGATTTTCATTTCTACTTACAGACTGATCTTCATTGATGGGGTCCTGCACGCTCCCACTGCACTGGGGAACCCACGGAGGGTCAAACATGGGGACAGATGGCATTCCAAGCACTGGAGAGGGCAGGGTGAAGTTAATACTTGGTGGAGGAATCTGTAAAAATAAATCCGGAAGATTCAATATGATAATAATCACTCCTGTACATCTCTCCTGAAAATGCATTTTCCAGGAACAAGGAACTGTCAAAATATGTCAATTTATTTAATTCTATCCTGAGATAAAAAAAAGAATTAGAAAATACAATTTTTCCTCACATAATACAATAGAAATGCAAGTAATTCCTTCTTTAAATGTTTTGGTAGTTGAGTTAGGATTCCTTTATTTTTTTTTATATTGGAAATTGGAATCGGAAAGCTTACTGTGTGTTTGTGATGAACATATTATTGCTAAGGTTTATAAAACATTTTTGAAATTGCATTTGGAAAGTGAACATGTAAAGTATTGTATGATTCAGTGGGCAAGGAATTTTGGATACAATGTTATTCGTGAACAATGGGAGAATATCTGGACAAAAGTTTTAAAATTTACATTAAATTATAAAATTTAAAAGAAAAGTTTTATAAGCCGATGTATCGCTGGTACCAGATAAGTTATCTAGAATGTATAAAGGTATTTCAAATGAATGTTGGAAATGTAAATGTAAAGAAGGGTCCTTTCACCATTTATGGTGGACATGTAATAAAGAAAAGAAATATTGAAGTAAGATTAATACTCTATTACAGAAAATTATCAAAGGGAATATAAAGATAAAACCAGAAATTTTTCTTTTGGGCTTAATGAAAAAAAGACTTGGATTTTTTTTAAAAGAACTTTGATGTTATATATGTTGACAGCAGCAAGACTGCTTTATGCACAAAAATAGAAGGACATTTCGATTCCCACAATGAAAGAATGGGTGCCAACGTTGATTGAGTTAGAATGGCTAAATTGAATGTTTTGATCAAAGAAAAGAACATAAGTAGTTTTGTTTCTCTTTGGAAACCGCTTCTTGAGGTGGAAAAAAATGAAACCTTGATTATTGGTTTTACTGATTAGGTAGATTTGTTGTTATAGAAATGGTTAGTTATACTATTGTGGAAAAGTTGAAGTCTGATGTTACTGTCTTATTCTACTGCACTAGAGGGAGTCGGAAGTCAACGCAATTCCCCCCTTCTTTTCTATATTTCTCTCTTCACAGCAGAAACCCCCAAATACGCAGACATTAACACCCAGATTAATATTAGACCAGTGATCAAGAAGTAAACAATACCCCAATCAAGGAACTACAAACTCAAGACAAGTTAACAGTAAACAACAGCCTAATCAAAGGACCACCAGGAACACTCCCAATAATACTGACAGGGCAAGCCTTTAGAATATAGCAATAGCAATAGCAATAGCAGTTAGACTTATATACCGCTTCATAGGCCTTTCAGGCCTCTCTAAGCGGTTTACAGAGAGTCAGCATATTGCCCCCAACAGTCTGGGTCCTCATTTCACCCACCTCGGAAGGATGGAAGGCTGAGTCAACCCTGAGCCGTTGAGATTAGAACCGCTGAACTGCAGATAGCAGTCAGCTGAAGTGGCCTGCAGTACTGCACCCTAACCACTGCGCCACCTCGGCTCTTGTAGAGGAAAAAACCTCATTCCCATCTAGCATTGATGATGTTACCTAGTTTATTAAAAAGCTCAGACAGTATCAAGAACTCACAGTTCAACCCTGAACTTCAAATGTTCTCATCTATTGCTAACAAGTTGACTGCAGATTTTGAATCACATAGTTTGGGGATAAAAAATCATAAAGATTTTATAAACCATTTTTTTTCATAAGGATTTCAATCTAGGGAGATAGAGCAGCAGACCCTTTATTTCTATTTGGCCAGAAAAGAATTAAGAGCATTGCTGTGTGAATATTGTTTCGATAGCTCAAAGGATCTGGTTTGCAATCAAGCTATTCCCATATTCTGTGAAAGTTGATTCAAGACGCCAGAACTCAAGTGTTCATCTCTTGTCCTTTCGATTCGGTTCATAATTGTTGAGAGGGTTTTTGTTATTGTGGTTGTTGGTTTAATCATTGATAAAAAGTTATTGAACTTTTTGGTACTTGGTACTTGATAAAAAGTTATTGAAAACTTGATAAAAAGTTATTGAAAACTTGAAAGCCAAGATGGTATTTTATAAATTTTGAATTATCATAATATATTATGAAAGTTTAGATTCCAGCACATCTCTATTACCTGACCTAAGCGTCATTTAACTCAAGTACTATAATGATAATACTTACTATATGGAAATATATCAGGTGGTACATAGTTCACCTTAAAGATTTGTTGAGCTCCTTCCTCCATGCGAGGCCATACTTGATATCTAAATCTCCAGAGGGTGTGGAACTTGAGAATAGCATTCAGTCTCTGCACTGCCTCCGAGTGATGGAATTCAGACATCAGCATGTCTGAAACGGCTTCTGGTACTTTCACAGCACATAGAAGGAACATGGCAGCTGTAGGAAGCAAATATTCCATGAAACATCTTTTTCCCCCCCTTACAATCTGGAAGCATTTTTTATTTTATTTTATCAATTTCATATATACATTCACAATTATATGATCTCATAACTGTTATTAATAATATGTATTTATAACAATTTTTCCCTACAGTTGACAATATACTTGAAGATTGCTTTCTTAACATCCCATAGATCCATCTTATCTTACAACGGTCCTACTTCTTCTTCCCTCCCTCCCTCTTTCCTTCCCTCATTTCTTCTCTCCTACTCCCCTTCCTTCCCTCCTTCCTTCCCCTTCCCTCCTTCCCCTTCCCTCCTTCTCTCCTTCCCTCCTTCCTTCCCTCCTTTCTTTTCTCCTTCTCTCCTTCCTTTCCCCCTCTGGAAGCATTATTATTTTACTGATGTACTTGAGAGCTGAGAGGTGGAAGCACACATTAAGCTTATGAGCAGACTTGATAACAAAAGGAGAAGGTAATTATCTTTGAATTTCAAGTAGGGAAATATCACGAAGAGAAGACAAGGTGGCCATGCATATAAATGTCGGCTGTTCTCAGAATCAGAGGGAGATTTCTGTAGCATTAGATCAGTGGTTCCCAAACTTGGTGACTTTAAGACTTGTGGACTTCAACTCCCAGAATTCTCCAGCCAGCAGAGCTGGCTGGAGAATTCTGGGAGTTGAACTCCACAAGTCTTAAAGTCGCCAAGTTTGGGAACCACTGCATTGGATCAAAAATCCTCAGAAGCCACTGCTGGGTGAAACTACTATGATAGCTCCAATTCCTTAGGATTTGGGTTTTTTTGCATTCTGGAGGGCATTCTTAGAAGGTGAAAGCAGCCTCTTTACCTGCTGCACCAGCCATGTGTTCATCCATACTGAGCAACAGCTCCCAGGCTGCAGGCTGGATGTCCCCATACATCTCTTCTGTGAGGATAGGAGCTGCCTTGATTAACAGGGAAAGTGGTGCTGGAGACAGGCTCATCACCTGCAAAAGAAAACCAGGGACTCAATAATATAAAATAGGGCCCCCACAAACATCTTCCCCTGCTGAGGGGAATATAGCACGCACAACAAGAGTGCTGAAGACTGCGGCTTTGTCACAGAGACGTGGTGATGCCCGACAATCTATCATTGAAAGAGATTATAGAAAACTGATCCAAGAAGAATGGAATGCAAATAAAAAACGGCCATTGAAGAAAATGGGTTGGCTTAACAATCACAGTGTCCGCTTAACAATCATAGCATTCTTTTAAGGATTGCGGTTTATGCTTAATGACCAGTACAAAAAAGGTTATTAAATTAGGCACAGTCAGGTTGGTTAGCCTGTGCTAACCAACTTAACAACAGCCATGACTTACAAGGGTAATTATGGGATAAATTATGGTAGTAAATTGAGGACTACTGGTAGATAGATAGTCTGAATTATTGACAGTGAATTCATTCAAGTCAAGGTAAAATGTGACATTCCTATAGGGCTGGGACATACTTCATAGAAACCTATGTTACTGGACACATAGTGCCTCAGTGCAATGCAGAAAGGTAGCTGAAGCATGTTTCCATCATATGTATTTTGCGATGCAAATGGTGCATGGGCAACCTTCTATCACATGTACAGTATTACATAGATAATTAAACTGAAGTCAAAGGAGCAATTCACAGGCTTAAGATTCCTTAGAGCTTCCCTACCTGGCATAGTAAGGGTATGGCTAGCTGGTGAGAGCTAAATAGCTTGAAATAGATCTATACTAGTCTCCCTTTATTTATTTATCAGCACAAATACAACAATATATATATATATATATA